GAAAATCAAAAGCAGTACTATATGCTCCCTCTCTATTCACTTAACCATGCTGTATAAAGAGCATAAAATCCACAGTTAGATTTGTATGACAGAATTTATTCTTACTGATTGCACTGGCATCCATTCATCATCTCCTTACTGTCAGGGGTTTAAAATAATGTGGGTACTTATTCCAGCATATTTTCTTGTCACAAAGCTTCATTTTTTCTAATTTCATTCTTCATATAATGTTGCCTTTATTTCAGAGATTTTACAGCCGGGGTAAAATAAGTCTAGGGCATTCTTTACTTTAAATATATTGACAAATAAAATATTACTTAATCCTCAGTCTGTTGGGCCATTTGGAAATTGAGGCTTTCAAGAATCTAAATTGTGAGAGACTTAGGCAGAAGGTTATTTTTTTTTCATACTGAAATCTCATTAAAAGGTATGAAAGTAAAGATTAATGTTCAATTCTCAGTGGGGAAAAGAGTAAGCAGTGGCATTCCCCAGAGCTGAAAATGCCTAGCAGGTTCAAATAGTAATAAAAAAAAATAATGGACAGTATCTCCAGCAATAGATACTAAAAATGTATGTTTAGACATGTATGGTTTAATACCTGTAAAGCAGTGACTACAGATGCTGAAACAGAAAAGGATTACAGAAAATACCTACTACATAGGACTACAAGGTACTCCACAAATGAACAGGCTCCTGTGCTTTTCCCAGATACTACTTTCTGTTACCATCAATAGAGACAGGATCTGAATCAGCAAAAATTTTCTATATTTTTAGGATAGATTTTTTTCATACATAATTTTAAAAGAAGTCCCCAGCAACAAAATAAATCCTAGTAACATAAGATGATGGTCTCATTGTGACTCAGGAGCAATCTTGGGGCCAAGATCAATCATTGAAGATATTTGCTCCATATCAGAAGTCAAAAGGGAAAACAAACATTGGGTAATAGAAACTGTATGAAGAAAACAACCAAGAACATCACAAAGCTATCATAGAAGCCCATAGTATTCCCACGCCTAAGATTCATTCTGTGATTGAATTCTTTACTCAAAAAAATATGTTATATTTGGATAATGGTCCAAAGGAAATCAGCAAAGATGTTATGAAAAATCTTTTGTGTGAACCATGACTAAGTAATTTGGACTATTTAGTGTGATAAATGGAAGGCTGAGAGAATGTTATGTAAAATTATTAAGGTCACAAAAAGGAATATAAAAATATTAGCCAGAAAAAGGAATATAAAAATATTAGCCAGAAGTTATGAAATATAACCAGCTGGAGCAAGGTAAAAAAGAATGTTTTATCCAGGCAGTGTGCATATGCTTTTCACATTATTTTGTGGATCTGAGTTTATATGGGGCAATAGTGCAGAGAATTGAGAGCAGAGACTGGAGATAAATGTGATTTCTGTGCCAAAAGTGATTGCTGGCTGAAAAAGCTTTAGGAAAATGTCCCAGTCCTTCTCTAGGCACAGCCTTTGGTCAGTGTTAGGGGCAATGCATAGAGGAATATTTCATGACCCAGTGTGTTCGGTCTTTTGTCCCTCCAATACAATTGTGAACCACTGCTAGAAGTGAAGATAAGGACACGCATGTTTTAGAAGAAATGTAAAGTCATTTAGGGGATTATTAGATTTTGTCAAACATTGGATTTAGGATTTTTTTTTTAACTTACTAAATAAGAACTCTCTACAGTTATTGATTCAAAGGAGAAAAAGATTTCTATTGCATGCAAATGAAAATCTGCAAAAAATCAAAATCAACCAACTAACTGAAGTTCTAGCAATGACCTTCTTTTCCTCAATAGCCTTTGGTACTATTCATATTAACATAATGTCCCATAATACTGTCACAACAATTGAAAATCTCTCCATGATTAAATATCAGTGTTATTAAGAAATCATGAGACTGTTGCACCATGGAAATCCTAAATTTCAGTATACCCTGTGTTCTTGACATAGTGCTGGAGGAAAGAACCTTCTGAAGTAACAAACAAACAAATAAGTTAATTTTTTTTATTGTACATATGCTTTTCAGCACAGCTATACAATGTTTTTTCCCTGATTTCTAAATGTCTAGCAAGGCTTCAGACGTGCCTGAAAGGCAGCTGGCATGTGTGCAAGCTAGACAAAGTGGGAGGTAATAGAGATTGGCAGAGGGAATTGTCTGAGGTTTTCAATAAATCTGCAAGAGCTGTCTCAATTAAGGGAGTTTTTTAGCTTCTTAGCAAAGTGGTTAACTACTGGAGGTCCTAAGTAGATCAAGTACTCGCCTTTTAGACTGTACCATGGAAAGGAGCATTTTTTTAACTATTGCAGACCACTTGATTAATGTCTACCATCCTGGATGAAAATCCTCACAGGAATACTCTGGTTAAGTGAGGAATATCAAGAAATTACATTTATGCAGGAGGCATTAAAATGAAACAAAATCTTGATAATTTTGTAATTCTAAAAAACTGTCTGGATGCTGAACTTTGTCTCAATACCTAGTTTCATACAAATTCATAAGGCACTTCCTCCAAGTAGAGTCTGGCCAGCTGTGTGTCAGCTATATGTGAGGTTAGCAGGCATCACCCACTTGGAGATCTGTATCTCAACAGGAATCTGATTTAGAGTCCTGAGGAGTGTATAGTTTCTAAAAATACCTCCCAAATCAAGGTAGATTAAATAGCATCTTTTACAGAACTAAAAAATTGATACTTCTGGATTTCAATGGTTTAGATATCCAACTGTGATTCATGAGTTAGTTCAGGTGTGTTTTTCCAAATATTATTCCAGGAAGCATAGTAGGTTTCTATGTTTTACACTTTTAGTACTCCAATGCTACTCTCTTGTTCTATTGTTACATGCTTGATAAGAGACAGAAAAGTACTCTAACAAAGAATGGAAGTTTAACTTTTTTTTTTTTCTTCTCACAACTGTTTCTGGTGGAAAAAAAATCCTGAACTGTTGAATTTGATGCTGATATATATTAAACTTCCAAAAAACATTATGCATAAAGAACAGTAGAGTCTCCACATTTTGACCTATATTGCAGAATTTTTGCTTAATGAGATGCTCTACCTAAGGATGTAGGTAATCAGTGTCTCAGTTCAAGAACATACAAAGTGCACAGACCATGGCCATGCTAGACTCTGAGGTAGAAGTAGAAGCTCTCTTTCAGAGTAGCATTTGCTTCAAGTACTCTTCCCATTCTGCCTCCATCCACTCAGTCTTGGAGGGAAATCACAGAAAACCCGGGCTTCTTCGAGTCTCCTATCCTTGGGATAAGAAAAGTTATGGATGGGAAATATTACCAAGTCCTTTTAATATAGTTCTTACCTGAAAAATCAATTATCAATGAGATAATTTATTCTGTTTAATAGAACTAGAATGGCCTTTAAAAACACAATTTCCTGATTATTTTTAAATTCAATTAAGAAAAAAAATCAAAGTTTTTCCATTAGGCACTCTGTTATATATCCTTTTTGATGCAAACATATAAGGAATCCTTTTACATTTCTCATTAATAGAGTTATTTTCAGCTTGCCTATGTTGTCTGCTTTCATATCCAGTTTTACCACTTATTACAAATAAGAAAAAAAACATATTTCAGGGTTTTTCTGAAGCTAAATAGTTGCACAAAAGAAGGTAGAAAGTATTTAGAAGTTCAATGTTTCTATTGAGATAACACTAAGTGTCACAAATATGCAGTATTTCTGACAAAACCAGGAAATACTGATCAAAAAAAATGCACTTTGGACAGTATCCTGCATGCAAAATTTTCAGCCTTAAACCCATGGTAATTTGCATCTACCATTCTTATTAATTTTTTTTAGCTGACTGACCCTTAAACTCTTTTAAAAATGGAGTTTAAAACCAGGTTTTATTTTACTTATATTTATTAAATATTATATAGTAACCATATATTAAAGTCTATTAATATATATCATAAATGTCAGCACCTTAAAAATAGGAATTTTCTTTCATTTATATTTCTTTTCAAATTTCTGAGATGTTATTCCTGTCAGTTATGACTAACCATCTTGTTAGAAAGCAGTCAGAACAAAGAGTAAGATGCCCTGTGCTAACCTTTTTACCTAATTACATTTTATCTGAACTCAAGAGAAAGGATAACAACATTTTCTGCCACTCTGACTTTTGAGTAATTCACCTTGGCCTGTGAGGGACTACAAGGCAAGGAGTTTCGTGTCTTAAATTTTCAATCTCTTTCTGTGATTAAGAGCTGAGAACACAGTTTTGACAACACAGTTTTCACATACCTGTTTTCCTCTCACTCTCAAAGCTCCATTTCTACCAGTTAAGATAAATGTGTCTCTACACACATGATTTCAAGACTAATTCCTTAATAATCAGAAAGAAAAATGAAGTACAGTTTAGTTATTTTGGTAATATACTAAGGCCCTTGTGTCCAAGTTTTCTTAAAAACTGTGCAGCCTCTGAATAACATTCCAGCAGAATTTACAGAGACACCTCCCACCAGTTGTATAGGCACAGTTCAGGCACGCGCATTCCTGTTCCAAATAATTTAATTGCAAGCGGGGAAATTGAATAGCAAAAAGACTGATGGAGATCAATATATTAAGCTCAAACAACTCTTGAAGACAAGGCAAAACGTAGGAGTGAGATATGGAGTAATAACGTCCTTAGGAAGCTAATAAAGAAAATTTACTTTTGTCCTGTGGAAGCAGCTATCAATACACATTTTTCCTTTCTGAAACCTTTCTTTTTCCCACTTGTAAATGACAGAGCCATGTACACACTGAGATGGTCTTATAACAGTTGGTCATCCACTTGAATGAGAACAGACTAACACTAGCTGCCTAGAAGGAGCAGCAAGAAACCTCTTATAAAAGCCAACTGTGCATCCTGTGCACTCAGCCACAGTTGGTGTTTACCAGTAACAATTTCCTTTCAGTTACATGCAGAGCTTTGGTGAACCTACATTATTTCCACACCATTAACTTCGAAACATTTTTTTCTTCCCACTGTCACTCACCATGATCTCCTCTGTGTTTTTCTGTCAAATCCAATAGCTTCTCCAGGAGTCTCGCTCTATCGCAGAGCAAATCCAGACCTTGTTTCTTCTAAACAGCTTTTCTCTCATTTGCATCTGTTTGTCTGAGTAGCTGGGGCAATACCTTGAAAATTGCTTATCATCATTATTCTATGTTTATCCAAAAGGTATGAAGTGTCCCATAATCCCAGGTGTGGCAGGCAGAGTCAATTTAACTGGGTTACTTAAAGGAGCAAGACACAATGCTTCACTTGCCCAGGCAGCAGTATTTTTGTGCTAAACACCAAGCAGTTCACAGTTGGCAGTGCTCTGAAGCATGGGACTTTATCTTCTGCAAATAGGATTAGCAAATGAAAATATGTATTCTAGTTTCACAGAGCAGGATTATCAGCAAACCAGTACATTTCTGTAATGTTCCTTTTAGCTCTATTTTCTGATGAGCACTTACACAGCTTTTGCTAATCTCTTCTGTGAAAAAATGCACACATTCGAACATGTTCTACATGTTAGATTGCAGGTTTAGACTCCCAATTTTAGATCATCTCTTTGGTAAGACTATTGCAAATCTCTGAGTCATAAATTTTCCAATTAGAGAAGGAAAAGTTTGTGCTGTAGTCACTACAAATAACAGAGCAACTTAATGCAGAAAATATATAGCCACTCTATTCTTTCCAATGCTATCCTTTCAGTTTTAAGGTATCCATTTAAAAAGAAAATAAAATGCTGCTGCAAAAGTTTTCCTTTATGACACTCCTAAAAGCAGGTTTTGATAGTTAACAATTTTTGATTAGTCTCTGAAAATGGTAAATCACCTGCTCACAATTAATTCAGTGCTGGTTCAGGGACACTGTCATCAGAAGATTCATGGTATGTCTCTGAAACAGGCTGTCCTTGTTTTGGTTGGGATAGAGCTATTTTTTTTTTTTCCACTGTGGCTAGTATGTGTTTTGGATTTGTCATGAACACAAAGTTGACAATATAGAGTTGGTTTTGTTGTTGCTGAGCAGGTCTTACACAAAACCAAGTCTTCTGCTTTTATGCTGCTATGCTGGTGAGAAAGCTGGGGTTGAGGAGGAGACACAGATGGGACAGGTGACCCAGACCAAAGGGATATATCCAGGCCATATGGCATCATGGTCAATACATAAAGCATAAAAGAAGAATAAGGAGGAGGAACTTTTGAAGTAATGGTGTTTTTCTTTCCAAGTTATTGTTACAAGTGGTAGTGCCCTGCTGTCCTGGAGATGGCTGAACACATGCCTGCCCATGGGAAGCAGTGAATTAATTCTCTGTTTTGTTTTTGTCCTGGTTTGACAAGGAAGTGAGTTTTTTCAGAAAGTTGGGGTCAAACCAATCAGTGGTCAGATTTGAATATTGATGCCTGGTGTGACCACTGAAGACATTGGACACACCTCTGAGAACACAGGGGTTAAAAGTAGAGATCTCCCAGGGGAAATCTCTCTTCTGGTTCCAGTCAGTGAAGTGCCCATCCGTGGGCTCGATGGAGGGTGGGGAAGCCATGAGGCCCAGGAGAGGCAGGCCAGGGGGTGAAGGGACTGGAACCAGAGGGACAGAAGGGTGGAGAAAACCTGAGATGTCTTTGTTCCCCCCACCCAGAGGGAGAGAGAGAGAGAGAGAGACAGAGCCCCCTGGAAATTTGAGATCATGTGCCAGGCAGTAAGCCCTAGAGGAGAAAGAGAAGGTGCGGGGTGGTGTGGGGGGGTAAGGTGCCCAGCCCTGGGAGTTCTGGGCAGCCGAGATTTCATCCTGGGAACCTGAGATGTTTAACCCCTTCTTGGACAAAGAAAGCTTGGTGAAACATTAATCCTCCTTGATCTAAAAGAGAAGAGATATGGCCTGAGATGTTAGAAGAAGAAATCCTAGGTGGGAGGAGATGATGGATTGGCCTTGGCTGGACTTTTCTTGTATAGCCACAGACTGACCCAATTTCTCCTGTCAACACAGACTGCATTCTTAGGGGGATGCAATGGCTTGAGCCAAGCGAGTGACCAGCTGCAGTGATGTCATGTGCAGGAGTGGAGTGAACAGAGAAAGATGAGAAGGGTGTGGTGGTGCCCTCAGTTTTCAGGGAAGATCTCTGTTCTCTAGACCCTCAGCCCCAGGGGAGGAGAAAATGGGGGGGACTGTTGTCCCAAAATGAGAAACTGTTGTTCTTTGGTCCTTGGCAAAGCATCCTTAAAGGAGCCCTATGAGCAGTTTCAGTCCATGCACAGTGGTGAGAACACTGTACATGGAAGGAGGGTGTCACACTGGTAGGTTTTCTCTGGGTGGTGCCATGTGTGACATGGAAACACAAGAGGTTGTGTTTCTTGGGGGAGTATATGGTAAAAGAGAGACTCCTTTCTCCCATGATGGACTGAGAATTGATTATCTGAGGGGTGGTAACTCCATTGAGAGTCCAAGATTTTGTCTCAAAAGTACTTTGGTGGAAATTGGGTGGGGGAGGAAGAATGTTTTGGAAGGTTTTCATTCTGAATTCTGTGTGTTCTTTTTATTATAGTTGTAGGTTAATAAAGTTTTGTTTTTTTTTTTCCGTTATTCCTAAGCTCGAGCCTGCTCTGCTCTGTTTCTGATCGCATCTCACAGCACTCATCTGAGGAAAATATATTTTCATGGCTGCACTGGCATTGTGCCACAGCCACACCATAACAGTTTTGCTTGTGTCTATGGCTTTTACTTTCCTCATTAAACTTTTTTATCTCAATATAAGTGTTTTCTGTCCTTTACATTTTTTATTTTCTCCCCAAACCTACTGTGGGAGAGTGAGCAGGCAGCTGCATGGGGTTTGGTTTCTGACTTGGGTTAAACCACTACAAAGGCTCATGAAAATTTATCATGTAGTCTTATACCGAAACGATGTAAGAAAGACTTCCATAAACTTTTTCCATATTTACTATAAGTTCATCCTCATTACATATTTCTTAGTTTTATTTGCAATCTGAAATGTGATGTAATACACTTATGTACAAAAGAGCCCTAAATTCCTGAACTTTCACTGAACGGCAAATTTACCAGCCTGAGCATGGATTATCTGAGTTGGTTCTACATGGCAATTGAGATATCCAGAGACTTACTTTCCAAGGAATGGATGTCATTTACAGTTTGTGGGACAAAATCATGTTAAATGCATGAGGGAAATAACAACACAGTAAGAATTTTTGTTTCCCTTTACAGCTGTAAGAAATAAAGGCATCAGTTAGACAGGATATAAATCTCTCATTTGTATTTGTGAAGAATAAAGTCAGGACCTTGAATTTTAGAAAACCAGAGCTCCAGTCATTTAAAGAGTTAGTCAATAGGACCCCCTGGGAAACTGCCCTCAGGGACAAAGGAGCAGAACAGAGCTGGCAGATCCCTACTATTACTTTCCATACAGTGCAAGAGCCTTAATCATCAAGTACAAAAATTCAGGCCAAGAAGGCAAGTGACTAAAATGGGTGAGTCAAGACCTACTGACCAAACTAAAGGGCGAGAATGAAATATATAGATAAAGGAATCAGAGACAGAGGTCTTTGTAAGAGTCTAGGTACATCATCTAGTCATGTGTGGATGGGGTCAGGCGAGCCTTGGCACAGCTGGAGTTGAACTTGATAAAGAATGTAAAGAATGAGTTCCTACAGGTATGTCCACCAGAAAAAGAAGGTCAAAGAAAGTGTAGCTCCTGTGGTAAGCAAGGCTGGCAAACTGGTAACTATGGGCACAGAGAAAACTGAGGTACTCAACAGCTTTTTTCCTCAGTCTTCAATAGCAGTCACCCTTCCCGCACATCTTGAGTGGATGGACAGCAAAGTCTTTCCCACTGTTGGAGAAAATCAGCTTTGTTATCACCTCAGCATAAATCAATATGTCTGTAGGAATAAAAAGAAGGAATAAATCTTTAACAGTGAGGGTGGTAAAACTCTGGAAAAAGATGTCTAGAGATCTGTTAGATGTCACATCCCTGAACACTTCAAGTCCTGGTTGGATGGGGCCTTAAGCTATTTGCTCTAGATGAGCATATCCTTGTTTATTGCAGGGGAATTGGAGTAGATGGTATTTTAAATATTTCTTTGGGACAAAGTATTCTATTTTTCTGTTTCATGATTTACTTAAAAATGAATGAAAAAGCTATAATTTAAAACGCATATATTTTATATACCACATAATGCGTCAGTGTCCTCTCCATAATCAACTATGAATCACCCTGCTGATTTTTATCTTTTGCTAAATGTATTCATGTACACCTGGATTAAAAAAATAATAAAAAAAAAAACCCTTCTTATTTGTATGGAAATAATTATTATTTTTACCCATGATAAAAAGAAAAAAATATTTTGAAGCAACAGAGTGCATCTCTATCGGGTATAATGTTGTTATAAAAGGAAGAAAAAAATAGTGTGTGTAAGTACCTTATGGTCTTTCCTCATAATCTGTAAAATCAAAGTGAAACATCCCTTTTTAGTACAACTAAGGGATATCATGCTAAAGCTGCTAGCTAGTAGGCTAGACAATTGTTGCCTTCATTGCAGACCATGTCAGACTGATAGAAAAACTAAAGTTGTGTAATAGCATAAATGGCATTCCCAGCTATTTTGCCATCCAGTCATTAGCCAGGTGAAAGCAATTCCAATACCAACCAACACTAGGATCTAAAGACTCAGGGCAAACATTCAAGTTACCAAATTAATTAGTTTAACAATTATCAGACATAGGGGAAGATAAATAAATAAATAAATAAGTAAATAAGAATAAAACATTGCAGATATCCACAAAGGGAAACTGTTTTCAAAGTTTGGAATTAGAAAATTCTGTGTTCAAGGACTACCAGAATAATTACCTTCTTTTGGAGGAAAATATAGCAAGTAGACATGGGCTTTAGCATATTTAACAGCCATCTGATTTCATATAATCAAATCATTTGAAATATAACTTCAAAGAAAGAAGCAGTAAAATACATGCAAATTCCCTATCAATTCACCCTTCTAAAATATCTTTTCTGGTCTCTATCCTCCTCCCCCTTCTTTCTTTACCCTAGCAATGATTTCTGCCTCTCACAATCTTGATTGCTCTGATGACCTCAATCAAAAGGCAATTATCCAGCAAGGATGGAAGGTAATTATTCCCATCAAGGAGAGATTGAATGCACCTGAATAGACAGCTGCAGTTCTTCCAGGGATTACATTATTACTATAGAAACTGCCTCCATTAATTTCTGATGCATGTCAAATTTATGATAAAAACTTGATTTGTTTGCAAGACAACTACTTTTCCCATTTCATCCAACATTCACTTTAAGGCAAGAGCAACAGTCAATTGTAAGTTACTTTAATATATAAGTGACAACTGTCAGCATGCAACCATCTGCTCAGAAGGAATGACATAAAATCAGGAAAGGGAATTGAAGCTCCAAATAGATATACATTATATAATTCCAGACAGAACTAAAAACACGAATACTCTAGCCCAAGCTTGCCAAGGTGCTGCTGCAGGGACAACAGTATAGGGACAATATATATATATTTTATATATATATATATATATATGTATATATAATAGAAAAACAGAAAGGTAAAAAAAAATTAGTCACCCTATTTATCTTCAATCCTGGATGGGAAAATGTTTAATTCTAGGAGAGAAAAAGTGGAAAATCTATAAGTTATTATGAAAGACATATCAATATTTACAATATCTTATTTTTAAGATAGGTTGGCAAATTACCTGCTCTCAGGATCTTGAGGACTTATAAGTCCACAGATTTATGAGGTATATTTTAAGCACTGAGCTTTGTCTAGAAATTTTGGGTAAGGGTTCTAATCACTATAATCACTACAGATGCTAAAATACTGCCTTCTTGAGGAAGAATTAAAAGATTGATAAATTATTTCTAATATCAAAATTCATTAGATTTAAAAGGATTAAAAGGGGCTATTTCCCTTAACAATGCTTGCCTCCTAAAAGGTAAAAAGCACAGAGGGCTGAATCAGAGTGCATTTTACCAAACTCTTACTGCCAAATTATAAGGCATTTTAATAGAAAATCAACAAAAATAAAAGGTTGTTACATCTTTTTAAAGGTTATTTTTCTGCATAGGCTACAACTGTAAATCTTTCATTTTAATGCCAGCAGAATATATAAAGTTGCTGTTCTAATACTAATAGATTGTCATGAATCTTGGCAGTAAGGTCACACAATATTGTGTTAATTAGATGCATACCTGGCATATTTAATTTAGAAATAAGGAATTTTCTATTGTATACTAACACTCCTTCATTTCTAGAAATGGAATATCAAATCCCATTAATTTACTAGTCTTAAATTTATTTTTCTATAATCTTTTTTTGAGACACTAAAGGCACTGAAGTCACGAATTATTATATATGTATTATTGTGATTTTGGAAGTGCATCACACAACAGTCTCACTTTTAACTTGCATTCTGAAAGCATCAAATATTTTTTCAGCATCTTCAACTTTTTACCATCATCTCTGTCATCTTTCTGTAGTTCACCAAAGTATGAGAAAAGAAGGAAGAGAAGGAGGGAGTACAGAGTTATAAAAAAACCCGTGAGAACAGAAGGGGACAAGCATTTGGCCTGCCTATTGCAAAATTCTTTTTTCACTTTTTCAAGTAAAAGGCACAGCTGAGTTTCCAGCCTGAAAATGATAGCTGTTCAGTTCAACTGGTTTTGCTCTTGCAGCACATGTTTTTCTTCTTTCTTTTTTGGTTCTTTGTAGGTTACAAAAAGTTTAAAGTTCAGGCAGAGTTTGCTTCCTAAAGTCCTTTTCACTGCTGACTAAACACACAAATCTTGGTTAGGCTTCACCTTTTTTACCACTACTTAGAGCTGTGTGGAGGTTTCTATCTTGAAAATCTCAGTGA